AGAAATAATCATTACCAATTAACTTGATTCATTTCTGTCAATGAGGCAGCTCTGTGCATTAATTCTGGAAGGATTTCTGCACCATCAATTCAATTTCTTCTCTTATGTGTCAATTTTGCCATTTGCATTGCCTGGTTTCAGTACTGATGGACACTTTATGCCTTTTCCCATCAAGCTTTTGCTCACCTTTGTGAAGTGTCATTAGGATTATTCCCACTGGTGGGGAAACAGGAGGGTAACATTCTGCCCACAGACTGGACTGATAATCCAGGTGAGACTGAAAATCAGATGCCCTGACTCTGCCTCCTCTCTAACCAGCAGGGTAATAACAAAGAACACAAATCCCCAGCTTTTTTTGAAGTACTTTTCACAAAGGATTTGCAGAAGAGGGTACAACTACCCCCTGTAACTTAGCACTAATCTGCAATTAAATATACTGTTTTTTCAAGTTAAAATCAAAAATCTAATGTGAAACTGCTTGATACAATGGGTCCATTTCTCCTTGAATTTTCTCCTGTAAATTACCTTCTATTTTTAGGTCTTTTATTTTTAGGCTGCTGCATGCGATTGCTGGGCAGCTCGACCGACTGTTAATGGGAAATGTTTTACATCTGATTCAGTTTTATTTCTTTGCTTTCTGCACCACTTAAACCAAACTGTCCTCTGAGGAGATGACAGGCTACAGAGAGCACATTTAAAGGACAGGTACAAGCTGTGCTCTTTGGGCGCAGTGTGGCACTATTATAAACCTTTTGCTGTTCTCTCCTCCTACACCTGCGTACATTTGTGTCTGCACACATTTTTCTTAAGCCATGTCAAACTTTATGGAGTATTAGGGCCATATGGCAACAGTTCAGCAAGCTCTCAGTATGCAGCTGAGACTAAAAGACTCCCTGAGCACAGTCGGTGGAGTCCCGTGACGGTATCTGCGTGTCGTATACGGTGCTCGGTCATGACAAGTAGATCCAAATGATCTGACATGGGGAGGGGTGGGAGCTGGAAAACCCAGCAGGGCACTTCACAGCTGCAGGTCCCCACATTTTTGGCAGCTGTGTTACAAACTTCGAGGTACTGTGCCACCCAGCCAAGTTCAAAACTGAACTTGAGAGCGGTACATGATCATAACCGCTATTTTTAATAGTGGTTGTCACTACCTTTCTCAGTAACCTAGACAACAGCAAAAACCTCACTTCTTTCCAGTTTCAGAGCACTACTACACTAGTTCGAACTACTGTTCGAGCTGAAGTCAGTGGCAAAGCACGAGTCAGGAATAAAATCAGCCCCCATTCAACTGGCATTCCATTTAAAGGGACGTAACATTTGCTGGGATATTTAACTCCGCAAAGCTCACAGGCCTTTGCAAGCTACCACTTTAAAATGCTAGCTAAAAATATTTGCTTTATCTGAAGTTAGATGAATAAATCCTCCCTACTGCTGGGTACACAGTGTGGCAGTGTAAAATACAACTGGAAATTTATTTGTTAGAAACTGTACATCTGTTATGATTTACGCTTGCCAAAATATAATTCTTTATGGCAACAATTGTTTCATGGTGCTTAAAGTTTTTCACCTCCGTGCCAGGAATCTCATATGGGATAATTCCATGACCTTGGAATCCAGCAGATACATTCCACATCTGTCTGGTCTGGGAAAGCCCAAATTTGTTGTGTGAAAACCATAGTGGGAAAATAAGACCTGGAAATATCTGAAAATACAGAAACTGCAGGGCTGCTTCTTTTTTTCTTTTTTTTTTAATTACCAGTTTCAAGTGCAGTAAATCAATCTCACAGAAGCGGTTACTTTGCTTTTGTAAGCAGACATTCACTTCTGATCTTATCATCAAATTAAGGAATATGGTATAAACATTAAAATAATTCTATCTCTGGAAAAAATCACAGCCTTTAAATATTAAAACTAAATTTTGTTGAAGGCTGCTTGGGATTTAAATGGAAAAGCACCCAACCTACTGCAAGTAAACATCTTACTGGTGCATGTGAAGATTTAGGATGGCAGAAAAACTGTAGCTGTCCCGGAATCTCAGGGTAATACTTTTCTCATTAGATTTTTTAACAAAAAATGAACCATAAACAGCTTTGTGAGCAGTGAACTTAAAAAGCCCTGGTTTCCTGTGATACTTTCCTGTGCACATTTTCTGTTATTCTAATAATTTGGCTGAGCTCCTGCTGCAGCCTTGCTCCCCATGGGGCACTGTAGCATTTTCATGCATACAGCCTGCACTCTACTACAACCTGTGCAACACTGGAGATAAGATGGTGGACAGAAAGCCACGAAAAAAGGTTATATTAAGAAAAACAGAGAAAAGGTGAATGTGCTTGCTTGACAGAAGGAGGAGACTAAACATTCCTGGTTTAAAGCAGGAATTGCTGTTCTGATCATCACCGAGGCTGGAAGTCTCCCTTTCAAAAGGGTTTAATGGTTGCTCTTCAGTCTGCAAATCCTGAAGGTGTCAATTCACTTATAGGCTATGTCCTTCTGCAGGACCAATATACTTAAAAGATGGTATCCCAAAGGGATGTCACATAGGAAGGCAGCATTGCAGGCTAAGCAGAAATGAATGACTAATTTATGAAGTTCATACAAAACTGTGCTCACAATTTAAAATCCATGTGTGAATCCTGGGTGTCTTAGAGAAGCTTTTATGATAGGAGTCACAAGATCCCACTTGGAACCAGTATCTGTGATGCTGGTGCACCAAAGCTTTGTAAATTGGTAACTGATTTGTCTAAGGCATGCCATGAATGACTGTGGTTTATAATAAATGAGTACCTTGCCCAAAAATTGTGTGGCGAAGTTTAGCTTTGTACTACTGGATATAATGTGCTCCAAGGGAGACTGCATTCTGGTGATACATGAAATGGTTTCTGCATATACAGCAGTCAAACAAATTTGCTGCATTTCTAGTGTTGTGGATTATAAGGCCACAAACATCAAAAAACATATGAAAGAATCTAATGACTTTTCAACATATTGTGACAATAAACCAGCCAAAACTACTTTCAACCAGTTTGTAGAATGATGTGTTCCTGGCAGCTCTCATCAACTCTCCTGCAGAAAAGTTTAACATCAAAGATGTAAACTCCTGTGAAATCCAGTTTAAAATACAAAGCTTAAACTATGTTTGACCAGACAAAAATACCACTGCAGCACAAGAAAGAGTTGATACTGGATGTTCATTCTTTAATGTAGAAAAATATAGACAATTTCCAAAGTGAGAAACAATGTTAGATTTATAGTGGAAGGGCGAGGTGTGCAGATACTTTATGATTATGCGGTATGCAGTGTTAATACTTTTCTACCCATTCAAGTCTTAACAGCTGTTCCATCAACAGGGGAAAATAAAAGCCCTTGGTAATTCTTAAGTAAGCTGCCAATTTTCCACATGGGATTCGACGGCTAAGAAAATTAGGTTTTCCTGCTTTCATGCTGCTGCAAGGCATAGCAGCACACTTAGTAACACTAGTAGAAATAAAAAATTAATATTTCTGAAAAATGTTTTATTTCCTAAATTTTTTTATATACTAAATATCTTGTTAACAAAAAAAATTCCCTATCTAGTATTTAGTCTCTTTTATTCAGATACTATTGTTTTGAAGGGGCACTGCTCATCACATATTTAAAGTTCTTTAAGTGCCTAACTGTGTGATATACAGGAGCACTTACTTGCACTGACAATTTTGTCAGCATCAGAAGAGAAACTCTGTTAACAAATCAAATACATATTTCCAGCACTCAAGAGGAAAGAAAGATGCAATTTTAAGTGTCAGATATTGATTATGAACCAAATTCTGGCTGCCTTGGATAGAGGCACCTGTCCAAAAATCCACAGATAAGGAGCAAGCAAAGAAAAACTTGTTGGCCTCTACATCATTTGGAATGGGTGCTGTACAAGCCCTTTATCACTTGAGTGGGGAAGGGTCTCTTTCCTCATAAATCACATCACAACACAGCAGCCTGATGGAGCCAGAGATGTATTCTGTGTATCTACAACTGGATCCCAAGGCAACACAATGATACCAGCTTCCTTACTTCCATCTGACTCACCTTCTACTGTAGTGAGGGATTCAGATTGCCTCCTAGGTCCTGTGCCACCACTGCCTTGTTGCTAGTCACATAACACCTGACCTGGCCTGGCCTGTGTACTTGAGCTGTCACCACACAACCATATGTTGGTCATTCCTAGTCTATATATTTGTGTATGAACACTCACAGCTGGTACTGAAAAGCTCCTACTTCAATACACATACAACCATATCCTAACGCTGTCTTGTTAGTCTTAGTCTGAGTCTCTGTAATACCTTTTTATAACCTGTTATATCACAGCACCTAGGTATTCGTACGAGATACCAAGGATCCAAATATTTATGTCAGAGAGGGAGGAAAAACCCCGTCAGCATCTGTTTGCAGAAATGAGATGGTGGAACTGAAGTGTCAGATAATCTCCCAAAAAGATGTCAGCATTTTCAGCTGCCTGACAGATCTGTCTGCCTGTGTGAGAGTAAACAAGAAAATGGCTCAGCCGTTTGGACTGAGTTTAAGGCAAAACAAAGAACAAATTATCCATTTTCAGATCAGGTCTCCTGCTCCAGTTTACAGATGTTCGTTTGTGATTTCCCCTGCAAGTCCCTTTGGGAACAATGATCAATGCACTGTGTGGCTGGCCAGCCTGGTTGAAGTATTGGCAATTTGGAACAAGAAAAATCTCATGCAGAAAACGAACCTTCAAACAGTGAAGACACTAGACACACCTCAAAATTCCTCCACATCTTCAATTTACTGGAAATTAGGGATTGTCCCACTTAAGGCATTTCCATGGAACTGGTGTTTGAATTCATTTGAATTTTGAGTAATTCTCCTGGTCTGAGTGGAGTTAGTTCAGATTTATGCTGAAGCAAGAGATTAAACTGAACCCAAATGTCTTTTCATACAAAGTCTTGATCTTTACCAGGAAATGACAGAGCTTATCAGGATGCCAATCTTACCTCTGTAATAATGAAGAAGTCATCACCAGGCTCTCCCTGCACAACAATTTTTTCTCCATCTTCAAACTGGACAGGTTCCAGTGCATCAGCCACTGTCAGCCGCTCCCATTTGTCCAGAGACTCTAAAATATTGAAGATCATAAAGCTTTATTATAAAAAGACTCTTAACTTTGGCTGAAGATTCATATCTAAACTGACAGCTCTGCTATGCCTGGTTGTGTTATAAAAGAAACATTTCTTTCATCCAGACACTTTGCACGAACCTCCAGTTGGGAAACATGAATGTATTTATTCATTGTGTCTTAGACTTTAGTAATCAGCCAGATGATAATCTTAAAAGTTGGACAGGAAAAGTTGGCTCTGGTTCCCTACGCCTGCGATCTGATCTGCACTGCCCTGATGCTGCAGCGGGATTGGAGCAGCCTAGGAGTTGTTTGGAGATACCAGCAATATGGGAGCGCCGAGATTCGCTTACCACATCCCACACCAGATGTCAGAACAAGTCCTACTGTCTTTTCATCAGAGTTGCTCTCAGCTGGTTACTGATGGCCTGCTAGATAAGCAATGCCAAAGTGTCAATCTAAAAGATGACTCTTCCCCCGTAGGTGAGACCATGCACCACTGAAGCCAAGGGCAAGACCCTGGTAGCATGGGTAGCAGTGAGACAGAGGGTCAGTATGGATGTGTTTGAAGTGGCACCTCTGTTTCATTTGCCAGCTGGATGGTTTACAAAGTCTTTTTCTTTTCATTCCCCCACTTAAGAGAGAAAAGTTATGAAACTTCAAAGTAAACTTCATCATCCACTTGCAGCTGCCACAAATCCCCTGTGATACCTACATGCCAAAAGACAACCTGCACAGTGGCTCGTCCAGGGCTGCTCACTGTCCCACTGCCTTCCTCCTCCTGCGTTTGCCAAGGGAGGAATTTTACCTGTCCTGCTCTCGGGGAGAGAAGGGGTGCCAACCTGTGTCTCTCTCCTCTACCCATTCGCATGAGAATTCAAGGCAATGAACTGTACTTGAACTTCTGTGCTTTTATCAATTTTGATTGAAAGAAGTGACAGGTTTAAAAGTTATTAAAAGAAACAGATAATACAATGACATAACCTTCACCTCAAAAAGCTGGGCTAAAATTCATGTACTAGAGCTCTACTGATCCTTACTTATTATGAATTATTGAACTAATATAAGTCAAGACATGGCTTCTGACACCAGGATTAGATCTGGGCTGTTCTCTCAGACTCTGTTTTCCCCATTTTGTCCAAATATTGCTTAGAAGTATTGTGTGAGGGTGAAAGAGTTGTTTTTTAAAAGTTTAAAAAGTGTTTTGGCTGAGCTCAGAAGTGCACACTGAGTTCAGTAACAAAACCAGATCGAAGTGATCAATGCAAAGCTAAGGTTTGAGTTGCCTGACACACGTCTTCATGTTTTTATGCCACTTTCTGTTGCTGTTTGGGAAAGATTATTTCTAATATTTTCCCCACCTATAATCACTAATGCACTTTCCTGGTGTATTTCTGACCTTTGCTGCAGAAGCATTAATATCAAAGACCAAGCCAATATTGTCAATGCAACAATTTGACTAAAATTGTTTGACTAAAAATAAGGATAAAACTCTTTCATACAGACTAGACTAGGCTTTTTCTTTTTTTTTTTTTTTTTTTAAAGAACTCAGTAATTAACAATGAAAAGATACAGTCTCTTGAGACTTCTTCATTTGGCTTTACGAAACATTCAAAATTAATTCAGTCTTTAGTCATAAAGTGTCTCTCTTTTGTCTAAGGGAATTGTACCACTACAAATACATTGGTTAATGATTCTTGCAAACAAAGCATTATATAAATATTGTACATGATAAAACTTCTAAAGTTTTAGTTGCAGAGTTAAAGTCAAGCATCAAATAAAGTAGACCATATGCAATTTTTTGCAACTTCTAAATTGTATGTATCAATTCATGGTTTTACAAACTCCAGAAGAAAGATTTAAAACAATTAGTCTTCTCATATCTTCTTTGATACACTATAAGCAACTACTGATAATCTAAGAAATCCTTAGATCTTAAAAAAAATACGACTCTTACAATTATATGGCTAGTTACAGACCCTAGACAGGCCTTGCAAAAATATATATAAAAAGCAGGTAAAGGTTTTTCCACCAAGAAATCAACGAGTTCTGACCACATTAAGGCATGAAGTGAAGTTGACTTCTCCGTGCTGTGTTGAGATTTCTAAAATACCTTTCTGTTTTGCAGGTGTCATCTACTTTTTAGACATGCAAAATAGATCCTTACACATTTCACCTAAATTCTCCATGTTCCTGAAATTATGCGTTATTTTGTCCACTGCTTTTCCATACTTAAAAAAGGTTCAAATCTTGAAGTCCTTCCTCTTTTTTTACTGAGATTCAAAAGCCGTACTACAAACTAGGATATAATTACATTGCAAACTGCATGTTTGAGGAAGCACATCTTTGAATAACCTTTCTACTCTGAAATTGTTTTGAGATGTCTCGTCGTAATTGCTCCTCATTAGTGCAGGTGCAGAGATCCTTTTTTCTTTAAATACTCATTGTAATTTGGTATAATTTGTACTCTTAATTTAGGAAGCTTTAAATTAAGCATAAAAGAAGCCATTTAAATGACAAAAACTTCATTAATAAGTGAGCAACATACTTAGCCTTAGTTTGAGCATACAAATACAATTGAAAATTTCATGGATAGCACTTCTCAGAAGTTCAAGTATATTTTCACTAAGACACTCTCATATTTCAGGTACCTAAGCTTGAATGGTAGACGAAGACCATAAACAAGAAATGGAAATTGTTTAAGTAGAAATATAAATAATTTAATTACATAGCAAATGAATCCTGAACTGTTTTTTTCAAAACAGCCCCAGCAGAAACATGATGTTTTTCCCACAGAATCAACATTTCATTGTACTGTCTAACACTGTCCTCCTTATTAGAAGCTTTTGTTCTCCTAATGGTGATTTATTGGTCAGGCATTATGGGTTTGTTGTTTTTCCTACTGAAGGCCATCAAGAACATGTCCAAATTTTGTGGCTATCACATTAATCAAAGGGAAACAAAATCCAAGGACAAGCAGCTAAACAGATGTTTTAAGAATGTGAGACAGGGGTCGTAAAATACATAGAAAAAAAAAAAATCAGTCCATTTTGATTTGTAAAATTAGTTTGTTTAGTGCACATAAATACCGTATTCTTGCAAGAAAAATCTTTTCACCTGTCACTTGGAAGGATGTAACTAGACTTTATGACAAATTCATGTCTCTGCACTGCTTTCTCTATCCGTATGATCTTTACTGCAACAGCAGCCACTGAAAGGTTACCAGTGCATGCCTGCTCCCATATTTAAGGAAAGATTTGTCCTTCAAACATGTTCAGTGCATATTAAAGAATGAGAAAAAGAAGTCCTAAAAAGGGCCCTTTACGCTTTCATTCCTTCAGAAACGATGCAACCGTGAGACCTTCTGTTTGACCACCATTGCTTTCATCGTGCCATCAAAGACCAAAATTCATTCTGCCAACACGTATAACAGAGGAAGTAACAGGCAAGTCCAAAGGGCAACTGACCCAAAATGGAGACCTTGCTCAGGAATTCTTCATACATCTTCCGCTTTCTCAGCGTGCTGCCCTGTTATTAAAAGAGAGAAAAAAAGGAGGTAGAACATTACACGAAGTATTTTTGTGATTTCTTCCTACAGCTGCTCTTTTTTTTCCCCTCCCCTTCCAAATCTTAAGCATAGCCAGTATAAACAGCCTAAGGCAAATGCTTCCCCATAAAATGTCTAGGCAAGTTGTATTGCTGATAAGCAAAGACAGAAGGAATCAAATTCAATCCTGGTGTAATTTCACTGACTTCACTGGTGTTACTGGACACTGCAGATTAATTGTATCCATTATTTACAGGCACTCATTTTAAAGCCAGAGCTTCATCAATTAACTGTTTAGCTAATTCAATATATATCTTCTTACCAATGAGGCCCTGCTAGATGCGAATTCACAATTACAAAGTAGGATAAAACTTAAAATGTCCCCCTCATGGGTCTCATCCTTTTAGGTTAAAACCTCTTTAATGCCAAGAGTGTTTATCTGTAACCTTGGTTTATATCCTGTATACTGTTGTACGTATTGTTACTGCTGAGCAACCTATTCATATTATTTTTTTAACAAGATTTAAGCGTTTTGGAGCAGACAATCCATCAATGTATGTGCAGCCACCAGCACAGTCATTCCCACTCTACTAAGATTTTATTGTGTGATAAATTACTGAGATACCTTCTGCTTACATAGTGTTTGATCAGCATAGACAGAAACCCTAAGTAGCCATTCCAGCATGCATTTTTGAAGGAGATTCAGGTATGAACAAATATGATGCAGTTTTACCAATACAAAATAATTAACTCATCCTTAACTCCTTCTTCAGTGACACAAATGACTTGAAAAGAAAACCTTCCCAGGTACCAAAGAGGAACTCTAGGCTGTTCCTTGGTACCGCGCAGTTTATTCCACACTGTTACATGACAGCCCCCATCATTTCTGCCTGGGTAGATTCCCTGTGGATGTCAAAGGCTGCCTGGTGCCTGCTGGTCAAACCTACAAGGCAGGAGTACAGCACAAAGATGATACATTCATCTTCTGAAGAAAGGGGAAATACAGATGGCATTTACTCATAGGCTGGGCAGAGAAGACAGAAGCAAATGTTAGTGTCTGCCACAGAAAAAGCCACTTCTCTATTCCTCCTTTTCCAAGTGAGCACTGGTAAGTGCTGGAAGCAGAGGCAGAAAGTGGGGATAGAGAAAGGAAAAGGAGAAGAAACGTTTTACCCTTCACTGTGAAAGCATTCAGAAGTGCTTTAAGTAAGAAAATGGGAAAGGCTGGAGTACTCAAGTGCAATGACATAACTAAGAAGTAAATATCATCCTTCCTACACATGCTGTGCAGGTGGGGCTTGATCCAATGATCATCAAAGCAATGTGAGTCCTTCCACCAACATCAACAGACTTTGGCTCCAGCTTCTGACCGCAGCACCAGCAGAAGCTGCTGGGTGCTCTCCTCCGAAGAGAGCTGCCATTGCATCCCTCTCCCGGGGCCACCCCTGCTCCGAAACAGCTGCAGCACCGTCAGGAGCTGCCACTCTTCCCTGGTATCTCTGGATCAGCACCGGCTACCAAGGTCTCCCCCTCCGCACCCTGTTCATAATTTCCGAGTCTGGTGATGACAGTTCGCCTCTCAGCGATAGCATCGGTAACCCTTGTCTGACCTCTCTCTCTGAGAAACCTGGTTCTCAACCTCCGGGGCCCCCGAGAGCATTTGAAGTGCCAGAAAGAAAAGAAAAAAAAGTACTTCAAACGGAGAAGGCTCTGTGAACCACGCCAGATCCTGACAGTTTGCTGCGAGACAAAGAATGGAAAACTGGACACTGTGCAGTTGTTGCTTTCCTCCCTACAATTGAGTGGAAATGAGACCAGCAAAATTGACAGCTGTGGAAAACCAGATTGGTGGTTTAGTTTGATGGGCTGGGGCACCCAGGGACAGATGTGGAAAATGCTTTTTAAATGACTTGCGGACACAGATGAATTTTAAGAAGCAGTAATCAGTAGCCATAAGTGACGCCTGGCCACAGCTTCGAGTATTTAGAGATGCAGACAAGACCCAGGAAGGTAAGAATTGCAGGCATCCCGCCTGGCCTGGAGAGCAAGAGCCCATCACTTCCTACAGGAAAATGGGTGTGTTGTGTCTTGGCTAAACTAAGACAGGGCAGCGGTACAGAATCCACCATGAAGACAAGTGCAAAAGCAAAACTGAAGTGGAAAGAATTAATTAAAAGTGCTGTTACCATTTTTTGTATTGTGATAGTATCTAGAACCTCAGTGGGACTCCACTTAATGCATAGCTACACTGTCTTAAATATCCCGTGCCTCAGAATGATACCACAGAGGTAAGGGAGAACAAGAGCCTAGGGAAGAACAAGTGATTGAGGCTTTGGACACTTTCCAAGCACATGCACTGAAACCAAAGGAGACCCAACTGATGGCTCATGACTCAACCTGCAGGATGGCTCCATCCAACCCTCCATCTCCATCCAGGAGACAAAAAATAGCTTCCAGGGTGGCACGAGCCTTCCAATAGCACAGCTTCACCAAAGGGTGCCAGGCAGGCACAGAAGCTTCCTCTCCATTTTCAGAGAACATGAGGCTGGATTCCAATTGGCACAACCAGATCTCAATTTCTCTTCCAGAAAGGAGAAGCTTGGCTCACCCTTACGCACATTATTTTCACTTGAGTGTGTTTTCCCGCTAAAGCTTTCACAAGCAGAGTGAGGGGAAGAGATTTTGAGAGAACACTACTGTAATATAAGCTAAAATCAATCCATCAGTAGAATCTTACAACCAACCAAATCATGGGCTTATTTCCAGTGGTATTAATCATCTTTTTCTGCCCATGAAACAGGGAGAGAACATGCCTACTTCCCACCTTCCCTGATCAGTCTAATATTCCCCTTTCATCCCCTCTCACAGGCATAATGTCACCTCTGACTCCTGACGTCCTTTTTATATTTGTTTTATTTGGTCTAATAGCTTTACCCAAATTGTTGAGGCCATGGGTGTGAACACCATCATAACCTCTTCTACTCTTCAAGTCATTTCTGCAGAAGTGTCAACTGGCACGCTCCCTGGGATTGGTACTAAGTCTGTTCTTATGCAATGTTTTCATGGATCTTCTAGAAGCAGCAACAAATCAGACAGTAATGATATCTGCAGACTAGGAGATACTATGAAAGCTTGCCAGAACAGGAAAATAACAAGAAAGGACCTGGAAATATTAGAAATGAGAGTAGAAAATAATAGAATGAGCTTCCATTTGGAAAATACAGATAAGAAATGCAAAGAAAAAAAAATCCAAAGCACAGATGTTTGACAAACAGAAGAAGGCTGGAAAGTTGTAACGCTGAAAGAGATTTACAGACAGTAGGTGAGACCCGGTTTGCAACATCAGACTTGTTTGCAACAGGAATACAGCCAAGGCTATTTTGGTCTGTATACTCAAAGACATCATCCTGGAATGAAGTTTAGAGGCTCCATCTCCATGGCTTGGATGTGATGGCATCTGACGTGCTACACTCTGTCTCGGTACCTCTTCTCCAGAAAATCAAACCAAAGAGAGCCTGAAGAAATGCTAAAGCATTTGGGGAGAGCTGATGAGAAAGGAGCAAAACAAATTCAGCCTGTATATGTTAGCTCAACACTGGGATCATAGGTATGTCATCCTTATAGCTAGCATGCATTGTTGCAAGTGTTTTAAGTAAACAGTGATAATCATCTACAGATCTATGACAGAAAGACAGGGCAATTTAGTACAGCATAACTTGACATAACTCAAAGTAATAGGAGAAAATTAAGAAAATCTAATTTAAGATCAGTAACAAAAAAGTTTTCCCAACGTAGGAATTATTCTCTTGCAGAGAAGTTTTCCAAGGGAAGGAATAGAAATCTTACTCCTTGAGCCAGATAAAAACAATAGTAAATGTACATGAATAATTCTGCACTGGCAGGGTTCTTGATGGCATGTTTTAAAAAGTCTTTATTAATTCTGCTTTTTCTAACCTATTAATACCTTATTTCAATAGTTGCTGCTTCTCCTCTCCCCGCTTCCCTTTGTTCACTTTCTCCCCGGTTCTGAGCTGTCATGCACAAGCTCATCTTCTTAAAGACAGTGGTTCCCACTAACTACGAAGACTCGTTAATATTCTAAGCTGCAGTGCTCCTCCCTGAAACAGTCCCAAGGAGAAACAAGATCACTTGCATTTGCCAAATTCACCCAGAAAAGAGCTCAAAGTCAGTTTTAGGACCACTTAAAAATGTAGCAAGCCCTAGGCTTAGCTTAAACAATACACAGGCTAGGAAAAAGGAATGCCCCAGAGAATATAACAGGTCTTGTTGAATAGGACTGTTGCATCTCTTTTCCAACTGCCCCTTCTTCACTTTCCCTGTTTGCTTCAATTTTTTTCTTCCCACTCCTCCAGTCCAGTCTCTGTCTTTCTTCCCCTCTGTTCATCTTTTTGCTTTGTCCTTCCAGCACTCTTCATGTCTTCTTTATTGCTTCATTTTTTCAGGTGGAGTTAATCGGGTCCTTCTTAGAAATCCCCACCTTCAGTTAGAAGCCAAACAAATGGCTAACGAAAGGCAAAGCATGGTTCAAGTTTCAAATAAAAAGAGTATGCTGGCAGGAGGTGCCAGAACGGCCTTCTGGACTGTTCCAGCTCCATTTAATCCCTGCATAAACCTGATATTGAATGATGCTTTGGGTGTACATTCTTACAGGAGCGTACGAGAAAGAGTCACCATGCACACTGGCCATGAAAACAAAATAGCCCACAAGATCCCAGTGCTATATTGCACACGTTGGATGGATTGCAGGCTTCGGATTTGCTTTATGTTTTCGCACCATGCAAACTACATTTTATGGCAACACAAAGTCCTTCTGACTTTATTTTATCTGAGTAGTAAACAGCACTTGTTAAAGAACTTGTTCTCAGGTTCAAAGCTGTGAAAAGACGGTAAAACAAAGCCAAAATAGCATAAATAAAATGAGGCATAACATTAGGAACTGACTAACCTTGATTTGTCATGACTTACATCCCAATATTACAACTCACTTTCTGCAAGCAAAGTTTGCTAAATAGGCAAAAAGTATCGTGTATGGACTAGTGTCAGCTGGGATAGGATTAATTTTCTTCCTAGTGGCTGGAATGGGGCTAAGTTTTGGATTTGTGCTGACAACAGTGTTGATAAGACGGATGTTTTAGTTACTGCTGAGCAGGGCTTACACAGAGTCAAGGCCTTTTCTGCCTCTCACCCCGCCCCACCAGCAAGGAGGCTGGGGGTGCACAAGGAGTTGGGAGGGGACACAGCCGGGACAGCTGACCCCACTGACCCAAGGGATATCCCATACCGTATGATGTCATGCTCAGTGTATAAAGCTGGGGGAAGAAGCAGGAAGGGGAGGACGTTCAGAGTGATGGTGGTTGTCATCCCAAGTAACGGTTACGTGTGATGGAGCCCTGCTTTCCTGGAGATGGCTGAACACCTGCCTGCCCATGGGAAGCAGTGAATGAATTCCTTTCTTTGCTTTGCTTGCGTGCATGGCTTTTGCTTTACCTACTAAACTGTCTCTATCTCAACCTACGAGTTTTCTCACTTTTACTATTCAGACTCTCTCCCCCATCCCACCAGGGGAGAGTGAGCAAGAGGCTGTGTGGGGCTTAGTTGCTGGCTGGGGTTAAATCACGACAGTATCTCATGCAAGCCCGCTCTCAGAGCCAGGTATCTTGGACCATGGGAACTAGAGGATAGTTAAATTATGCTGAATCAAGCCTTCTTAAAGAAGAAATTACAAGAAATTAATACTTCAAATTTCCTCAGTCTGGGAACTGAATTGTCTAGGGGATCAATCTGATGTTGGGATGCAGACATTTGCTTCTCTGGTATTTGTGGTATTTGCTATGTTTAGAATACAAATATTGTACTACCCTGGGATGTTTCCCACTCTGTGATGCTCTTGAATCCCAATTGCAAAGAAGAGAGCAGCAACATTTCAGCAACTGAATTACATGAATCCTATGGCAAAAAATTCCTTTGCATCTCTTCCAGAAGAATGTAAGTAAATAAATATAGAATAGATACATAAATATGTGGGCGTGTGCTTGTGTATGCACACACAGAGAACATATACATAAAAAATTTGCAACAGAAGGAAAAGTATGCAGATAATTTTGTGAAATAAATGGAACATACAGATGGACAGATAATTTGTGAGTGTACTCGTGGGGGGAACATGTTGAGGTGGGTTTTTGTAATCCGTCTAGTACAATGAATTTCATGGCGTAATACTTTGTTAAGAACTGCAGTGAAAGCCAAGCAAATTCACTGAAAATCCTGACACAAAGAACTATCCCAATATTTACAATCATCACAGCTGCTAAAACAAACTTGAATGTGACCTTCAAGCCATGAGAGTACCTAAGCTGAGACAATGAAATATAAAGAAATATATCTGTTTTAACAAACTTCCTTTGGGACAGGCTAAATAATAAATGGATGACAAGTGTAACTAAAAGCCAGCAGGAACTTTTTGCATCAGGCTTTGTCCATCCAAAAAAAAGGAAAACCCAAACTCCCAAACCTCCTGAGATGCATTTTATTCATACCATAAACCAGTCAGGATCAATGAGACACGTGTGGGGAAAATGGCACTAAGCAGAAATAAAAACTAGAAATTACTACATGCAAAGCAAAGAACCAAAACAGACCCTGTAAGGAGAAATGAGGTAGAGTCAAGTGTCTCATGACAGGATAAAATCTTTTTGGCAAGTGTGAATCTGAAGGGATGATTTGCAAATAAATATTTACAACTTGAATAAAATTTCAACATCAGACTGAGATAACATGGGGCTGGTCATGGCTAGGAAGGAATGCAGATGAAAAAAAAGCTGTCTTGGGTTATGGAGGGGATGTATCTGACTACAGAAAAAAAACCCTACCTTTGTGAGAAAAAGGCCATTGATCCCTTGGACAAAAGTATTTGCAAACAAAAAATAAAAAAGGAAAAACCTGCTCACTCTCCAGTTTTAAAATAATCTTAAATTATATATTTCAAATGATATCCTAAACATTACTACCTCTTATTTAAAGGCAGAAGCATTTCTACATCCAAAATATCCAGCAACTTTCTAGAAATGTGAGGTTAGAGGCTAAATGGCAGCACACTGTGTTTCTGGGACTTGAAAGGCAGCTACTACTACATCTTGAAACTGAGTACAGCAAAACTAGCCAGGTAATGGTGGAGTTAGCTTCAAGTATGAAATGCAGCCACTGAAACATGATGTAATTAATTCTTAGGCTTGAGGAAATGTGCAGAGAGCCACTGTAACCTGCCCTCACACGAATGCACAAAGACAGGTGTCTCATTTCACCTCCAGCAAAGAAATTATCCACGCTTCACCTACAATAAATGAAAAGATGACAGAATTCGTGTAGTCTGGGTGGGTAAATTGCATTCACCGTGGACAGCACTTAAAATTGGACATTTTTTATACCTGCAGCAATCAATTCACCATGCTACCTGAAATATTTCCTATCTAAGTGTTGGGAATACTACAATTACACTGTCTGGGTATCTAATATAATGCAACAGACTACCAAGTTTTAATGGCCCCAACTGCAAAAAAAAACACGAGAAGAGAGAGAGTGAGAGAAAACATCTCCATCTTAAGTTAAACGTCTCATCAACTGCAGAAACTGAGTTTGCTCGGTAAAGTACAGCAGTCACTGTTTCAGAGAATATGTAGATTAATTTCAACAGCACTTAGCACTACACTAGAATCAAATAGAAGTACATCCATAATATTCCAGTTGTATGTATGGCTAAAGCTAGCATTAAAAACAGTCTTTTCCACTGTGACTTTAGTAAAATCCTGTCTCTGCATCAAGTATTCATCTTCCGAAGGCTGCTGTCAGATGGTAATGGACACAAGACCAAACCTGAAAGCTCACAAGGTTGGATGATGTTAGGTACCACTATCTTCATCAATGCTAAAATTGAAATTACCTCTAGGCTACAAGGCCTGTGAATCTGTCCCTTCAATTCTTTAGTAGCAAAATTGCAGGCAGCTGTAAAAAGCTATGCTTAAAGAGCCAAAGAATATGTGGCTTGTCCTGACATTTATTTCCCTTGTACAATCCTTCTCTTTTATACGTTGGATTCTTCCTTGCAGCATGCAAGTTCATCGCACCAGTTATCCCAGACACCCCTCCATTGCATCCATGTAGGACATGGGACAAATAAGCTGAGTGTGCCTCTTAAATCTGTTAGGAAATTCTCCTGCTCTATGTTTTAGAAATACCTTGCAGAAAGGTCTCATTTACTACTGCCTGCTTCCCAGCATTGGGAAGCATTTAAAACTACTCATCCTGCTTATCCACAAGAGAGAAGACAGTACGCTTCTCATCATTATTCCTCTATTTTGTCTTGGAGTGATCAGGCTGAATATTTTGGGATACAGTAAATTTCCGTAAGATGTACTCTCCTAGATGACAGTGTGATGTTCATTTATGTGATACAGAACTCAGCCCATGAAATACAGAGTGAAAAAGAGCAATGTTTCATACAGACATCCAACAGTCATCACACAGTATAAATAAAGATCACTCTTACACTCTGTTGCTTAAGAACTAATCATTTAAGTGTAAAATCTACTCAATTCTTTTGCTAATTTTTCTGTTATCCATGACATCCACTGGAAATATAGATGATCTCAAAACGCACACTCCTTTATTATTCTGAGAGCATAGTGTAATTTCCTTCAGATCAGAATGAAACAATGCAGCTTTTAGAGACAAGTCCCATTGAGAAAGAAGCTTTGCACAGAGTTATGTCTGTTAATTATCAAAAAGAAAGGAATATTTTATGGAGAAGAAAGATATGCACATAGACATCAGAAGCAAACTCATAAAAAAAAGTTATGACATTGCTGAAGTTAATTATCTGTCAAAGTTTCCATTATAAACTCACCACTCAAGAACCACCAGCAAATCCAGAAGCTAGCACACACCCCAAATGCCCAGATGGTCTGTTGAGCTTTGCTGCAGAGATGAGGGAGTTTGAAAGGAGCAGAGCAATGAAACATTAGCAGGAACTCTGCAGCTACCATCCTATCATACGTGTGGCTGTGTGCTGGCTAACAAAGATGGAGGGCTCAGTCCAACTAAGATTTTTTTTTCAGCAGAGCTGGATTTACCTTGTATTGCCTGCTTTGAAGAGTATAATACAAGTTCAGACAAAGACCTCATAGGCAAGGGGTAGTGCCGAAAGACACTTTGAGGTTCACAATAAGAAGAGGATTTGCATAGCTTCGGTGGGTAACAGAGGCCTCCTGAGGTTTTCATTCATGTATAATAGTTATGAATAAGGTTATTCAATTGCATCTCTGACTCAGCGTCTTTCCGCTGAATCTTGTCCCCTTTTCCTTCACTTCACTTAATTTAGTTACTCAATGTTATTGTCATGTCCTCTCTCTTATGTAGAAACACAGACCACGCAGCTTTCTATCATTAGTGTGCTCTGAACACAGAAGTGCTGGCACTACAGAAGAAAGTAAAAAATATCAACTCCATAAACAAGCCCTTCTCCACAAACTTACCATTAAAATGCGTCTGTAGCTGTCTCTGTCGATGCCCCAGAGCTTGAGATCTGTCTTGGCCTTGACGGTGGCAGCCCGGGGTGTTCCATAGATCAATGCCAGTTCCCCGAAGCTGCCTCCTTCTCCGATGCTGGTGACCCACTCCCCATTGACATAAACCTACCACGGCACAAGACAAAACAAGAAGCAAAACCAGTTTGGGGACTTAGGTGCAGTTTTCCTTCTACTGCCAGTTACTTAAAAAGCTATTAGTAATTTCCTTTCTAATCATCAATGCTGGTGACACAGAAGGAAAACAAGAGCGTAACAGTTTCCACAGTTGGTCCCCAAAGAGGGCAACAACCTGCTTTGTGGACAGAATTTCAAGTTGTCTTGCTTCGGTACAATGACTGTATTTACTCTCTGAGTTTTCAGCTCCCATGGTTAACTGGCATTGTGTTTTCCTTCTTCTGTTCAAGGCTCAGGCAGTCAACAAGCAGAACTGTCACAACTTTGGCTTTTTATTAACACTGTCAAACTTGAAAGAAGGAAGACTTGTTGATATGTGTAATGAAGTTTGCTGAAAAGCACCACACAAAACGAAAAACAGTCAAAACAGGGAAACATCTTTTGAAAAGGAACATTTTTTTCTTCCCTAAGCCTAGTGCCTGCAACAACCATTTAAATACAACTATCAAGATTTCTATCTCCCTTAGTGAAGACTACTAAGTGCTTTGGACTTGAGAAGCTATATGCAGCATTAACCTTCATCTTTAACATCAGCTCTACAGAACTCTTGAAGCAGTATTTGATCCACAGCCTATTTAGATAACATGTCCTCTCAAAACACGGTATGGATTGATACCGCTATCACAGTATTTTTCCTAGACAATGTTTAATTTGAGAAGAAATCCTACACTTGAGTGGTATGTAAAACCTTCTCTGGAGAAAGGAGGACTCATGCAGATGCTTTCCGCTGGGCTGCATTTTCCTCACTATGCATGGACAATGCAGCTCATGATACATAAGATTGTATTCAAAGATAGGTATGGGTGGTGTATTCTGCAGCTTGCTTGTAGGCTTGCTGCTATAAACCTACGCAATAAATCCTTTTCATTCTGTTACTGTGTCTGTGAGTTTAGAGGGCAGGAAAGGCTGTGTGCATTTACCCTGTGCAGAATATGTCCCAATCTGTTACAGACCAGTAACAGCAGAAAACAATGAGAATTAATTTCATTTGTTTGGAAGCTCTGTGAAGAAAAATAATATGAAGAAAATACGTAAGTATTTCTCATCTTAAGCAGAAAACTATGGCAAAGGAAAAGACCATAACCTATTACCAATTACTGAGTAACAGACTAGCAGTTTTTTAAAAATATATGAATTAGAGCTGTGTTCAAGCTGGGCATGAGAAAAGACGTGACCAAAATAAATGAACTGGGGTGAAAATTCAACAACCTGTCAGTATTCATTTTACTTCTATCTTCATTTTATGATGAAAAGGCGTATTATAAACTACAGCTGGAATCAATCCCAATTTATCTTCCCAATAGTCAATTAAGATCTGATCCAGCTCCTACTGAGGTCAGTGAAATGCTGGTTCAGTAGGAGATGGATGAGGCTGCTGATCAAGGGACCTCTTGGGTATCAGCTGAAAAGGAGCAGTATTAGCGTCACTGCTGAACTCGAGGCAATGTTGTGGCTCTTGGTGTTCCTAGAGCATCTGAGGATCAAGGGGCTGAAATAAAGGGTAAGAACAGTCTCAAACGGGCAGGTGGTAGCAGACTGCCAAGAAAGAACTAGAGCCACAAAAGCTATAGCTTCATTTCTTCACCACAACAGAATGAATGTCACATAGAAGAATATCACACAAGAGAATAACAACAGCATTTCCTTTGAACAGAGCATTGAATCTAATTTTGATTCTCCTCATGATGAAAAAAAAAGAAAGCAAAAAAAGAAGTTTCAAAAAAGCCAGGCAACCCAAGCACTTTTTTGGTGATACAAGCAGGTAATACTGTGGCTCCTGGATCTTTTTTTGTGAGACAAGCAGGAGAAATGGATGAATAAAATTAGGATTCTCAAAGACTTGTAGCATAACGAGAATATATGAAAATTTTTAAACTGAATGAATCCATTGCAAAATTGTCCAGATCCAAATTTGAAGGTAGGGACACTCCTTTTCTGTGGGGATTTCACCAGATGGATCCAGGGTTTGCTACAATACAGTAATTCATGTCCTCAGTAAAAAGTCTCAGGGATGATGGGGAAAATCTAGTAATTCCAATGAGTTTTGGACCACATCCTGAATGTCAACTGACATTGCACCCCTGACTCTTTTTCAGCACACCAAAAGTACACGTGTTTCTATATGCTCTTTTGTTGAAAAGCACAGGTTTTGTTATTGCAGAAGGGTCTGGATTATAAGCAGGAAATAAACTCATTCCAACACGTATTTTTTTAAGCGATATGGTGACATTTCATGTTAAAGCAGTATGCATGATACGACTGCAGCCCAGAGAGGGGAATTACACTGGTAGAACTCAAGCTAGAGCAATTGAAGGATGGACATTTACTGTTGCATGGTTTTTATAAAGAGAGGCTCTAAGACTCTTTAGTCTGCTCTAAGACTTCTTTAATTTTGCTGTCTTACTTGACAAGGCTCCCCAAAACGTGTTTGACATCTTGCCTGTAAACAGTATATGCAAATGGCCATTCCTCCACCCTAAGGGTGTCAGGTTTAAAGTATTCTGAGATGAGACTAAATCACTGATCTGACAGTCTTTGGGCCCAGTATTCACTCCCTCAATAAAAATGCCATTTCCATTATGTATCTCCAAAAGAGAAAACAGCTTGAGAATAACTGTTATTTGCTAGGAGAAAAACCTTTGCACTTGATTTTCTGCAAAGGCCTAAGTCAACAATCAACTTTTGTCTTCATGGTGAAATTAAAGTGTGTTGATGGCACATTACAAAGCCATTCTGCCCTTTAACAGAGAGTTCAGCTCCACTATGAATCCCTTTAAAATAGAATTTTAAAAAAGAAGTAGAAAGAAAAGTAGCTCTGCTTGTAAGGTGTGGGAAGTAAAGCTATTTTAGGCTCAAAACAGCTTATGAAAGCTGATGTTATATGGCAGCAGCTCAAATGATCTCCCTCTTTATCCTAAAAAATGCTGGGCTGAGGTTTCGGCTCAGGCAGTCTTAGGCATTCGTGAACTCTCACCAAAGTGGCAAGTACATAAGTGAATTATTCCTAATTGTTACTTGACCTGCCGATCACAGCTCCATAATAGCTGGAACCTTCTTTCATGCAGCTGAAGAGGAATGTAGAACTGCAGATGCCCAAATATGACCAAGCCATCAGGACCACCTACTTTCCACAGATCAAAAGTACTTTAGATTTCTATTGTTTTCCATCATATAGTATGAGCACTGCAATTTTTGTGGGCTTGAAAATCATACAACTTGATTAATTTCATTATTTTTTTAGGAGGCAAATGGGAAAAATCTCCTGTGAACATCAGCAGTTCCTCTCTTCATGGGCTGCAATATACATAGGCGCTAACTGTGAGAGAAAATGCAATGAGTCACACAATGCTCAATGCGATAGGAATGCATCTTGGCCTCATTCTTCTTCATGTTGTCTAGAGAAGCAGAAAGTAACCTTACCACAAGCAGTAATATAGCCATTTTACTTTGAAGGCAGGATATGAACATCTGTCTCTGAGCTTCATTGGAGTGAATTTACCTTTACTTTAATCTTATATTGCTGATTTCAAGTTAACTTTTAGCATTTTTTTTGCTGCCACTTTGTGATCTATGTGGACAATCTAATTTGTTCCAGGCATTGCAACTTTTAGATCTTAAATCCCCTCCCTTGGATCTGTTTGTAATAATTTGTGCTTTGTGTCTTGTCAGGCCTTAATATTTGTTATCCAAAAATGAAGATGAGGTTTATTTATTCTTGGAAAAATAAGCAAGTTAGACATGAAGGGTATTTATATGTGGGTAGTTTTCTCAAATAAAGCCAGTGCTTTATTTGTAGTATGAATTTGCTTCTCTTAAATATAAATATACAAACTTGGAGACTGCCTTGAGAATCCTTAAAAATTCAAGCTGAAAACCTCCAAACTTTAAAATGTTCTGTTTCAAATTTCAAAAAGCATCCTTCTGAAATTAGAAAGATCATTAATGATGGAAGAATTCAAACCAAAAGCAAACTATGGAATCTAACCATAAAATATAACTAATTTTAAAATCCAACAGTATTCTCACATAAACAGCGATGTAATTTTCATCTTTGTATATACAAATTTGACAGTTTGTATATACAAATAAGGGCTTCAAGATCTGACCTACAATCAAAAGATAAGATTATCTATTGTGCACAATATTCATGTATAGCTCCACATATAGATTTATATAGTAAGTACAGAACCTATTTAAGAAAAAATACTGAAAAGTTTTCATTTTGATTTTCACCATACTATAGTTTGACTGCTGTTGTTTTACAAGAAGAAAACCTGAGAATGACTGTAGAGAAACTTGCTGTGACACTAAATAGAATAGGAAGTTAAGTCTAAAAAAAATACATCTGCTTTAAAAGGGTAGTTGACAGTGCTTTTTAAAGGAAAAAATGTGAGGTTATAAGATTAAAATAATAAACAAGAAGTCATTTTTATATTTAGAAATATGGATTAGAGATTTTTGCAAGACACATACTTTAGCAGGTACTTTCAACATCTTTACTGGAAACTATAATTTAAGCTCTGCCAGCTACTTTTTGGCATACATTCACATCTGTCTGAGCAGAAAAGCTTCCGGTAGACAACTGACCTCTAAGACTTCAAACCTCATGCCATCATCTACCTAGTATAAACTTTACCCATCTGCAGGGACGGGTCACAAGTTAACAATTCTGCTCTAACCCTGAAGTGCTAAGGAGGAAGACTGCAACTGATAACGCTATAATGTTCTTTCCCATCCAATGCGAGCTCTGATCAAATTATACCTGTAGTATAGAGTATATAAAAGGAAAATCCCAGGTTCTCCAAGACCTACCTCTTTCTGATTTCTAAAAACACTTCTTTTACACATGAAAATTTGTCCTTCCCCCTTGGCCCACAGTCCATGTTGAGCATGCCTGCTAACAGAAGGGTAATGAGTCTTCTTTGGCTGTCCAGAGTAATACTGAGAAGGAAATGTACAGATACTTTATTCTGTGCTAACAAGGCTTGTTTATATCCTAAGAAAGTGTAAGAGTTGAGGATAAAGTGTTATTATATTTAGAAATACTTTATTGGACTTCTAATTTGACTCAGATTATTTTTAAGAGAAAATATTAGAATGTTCTTTCGTACTCTTTGGGGTGCCTATGCCAAAACTCTAACAGTAAATTACTTGTAAATGTTGCAGTTTTTTAAACTCGAACCACCACACACTAATTTTGTTATTCTGGCTTTGTTGGTCATTTCTGTTCAGTTTTGGTTGCTTGCTTGATAGATTTATTTTTTTTTTCAGTTTTGCCATGACTTTCTTCCAGGGGATGGGAATTTTATGATGGCAATTGCAATCTCCTTTATGTGTATCTTTGCATGCGTATGGAAAACCTGGGTGCTTGTCGGTCATGATTTTCTCAGAGTAAATAGCTCCTTGAATCCACCAGTCCTGGTATACCTGCCACTTCCGTGCAGATCAGGTAAACGATGAAGGCAGATAGCCTGGCCAGGGGTTAAAAGCCTCCATGCATATGCCAACATCAGCTGAACTAGGCAGAAAATGGTTTGAGGCTTAAGTCTTGGGGTCAACTGTCTACTCTCCAAGTCACTTTTTTTCTTGGAGAAGGGTGGAAACATGCCAAAAAAGTATCTGGCAAGGCTTAAATGAACTGCAGCTCACATACTAGCGGTCTGGATTTTCTTCAGACAGTAAGGATTTTAGCACTGCTGCCCAAAAAGTGGAAGAACTCTTTTCTGGGGAGCACTATATACGGTGTGATAGTGCACACCCATGGGATCTGGGAGCTGCTGCCTTGTACAGGAGCAAGTTCCTCTGCACTAACTGTCCTAGTAGAGACTTTGTGGGGGAAAAAGCTGCATCTCCTTGAAGCTTCCCAGCAAAGGCAGTTAACATAGGTGACTTCTGTAGCTACCAGGGCGTAGTTGCAACTTGCTTCTGGATGAGCAAACATTTCTTGTGGCTTTCACAGTATCTTGCAAAGGAATTCAGTGTGTGTTTTGGCTGAAAATATAGGAAAAGCTTAGGAAGGAGACAGCGCCTAACTGAGGAGATGGGGAGAGCAGTGGTAAGGTGCAGCAGGATGAAGGAAGGGGAATGCAGAAGAGAGACAGCATGAGAGCTGGTCACAGAAGAGTTTTTCAGACTTAAGAGAGTCAGGAGCTTTGGTTGTCCCTGGAAAAAGCTCAGTTCAAATGACATCTCAAGTACTGTTAGGATGTATTTGTCCCACAGGTCATGTCAGAAAACTGTCCACACGTGTGTCTGAGAAGTGTCAGGACAACATTATTGTGGACCTGTCCATTTTGATCTGTCCTAGCAGCTATAGGCTGCTATGGGCAATTAGGGGAGTAGGGATTGAGAATGCTTATGAAATCGAAGTTGCAATCTACTCAAAGAAACCCAGTTATTTCATTCATTCCTTAGAAAATGTGCAGTGCAAGTCTCAAAGACAAGGCAGGAAAAATGTATATCCTATATCATACATAACTGACGGGAGGACTGCAAACTACTCAGAACACAAAGAAAACCTGCCTTCACCTCTAACAGCGTAAAACAAAACTGTGCCCTATGCTCTTCATTTAGCAAAACACTGAGTCCCACTGAAGTCCACAGAATTGCTCATGTGCTTAAAGGAGGACTGGTGCTTAACTTGTCAAATCAGTGATCTGGGATAAAATTTTCAAAAACTTCTATACAGCTTAAGAGCCTATGTGTAATTGCAATGCAGTGGCACTGAGGCCATGTAGTCACTGTGGCAGTTTTTCAAATTTTACCCCAAATCCTATCTCAGAAGCCACACAGGTCCCTGCATTGTTCTGGGAAATATAAGATTATTCTGCAAAAGACTTTCAGGAACTCAAGAAACTATCAATAAAAATGATCTAGACACATGTCTCTTCTTAGGCCATTTGTGGTCAAGATAACTATCAAAGGATTTCAACTTTCCATAAAAGCACGGAGAACCTCTGATATACAACTAACATGATGTAGTGAACGTGTTTCTGACTAGATGCCAGAATGTACCTGGGAAGGGAACTACAATGCCGTCTTACCTGACAGAGAATACAGCAACTGGTGCTCTAAACAAGTCCTTCTCAACATTGGCAGAGTCATGGCCACCTTGGCCATTAGTGGCAACCATCAGTTACAGACAATGCACAACCAACCTCTGCAATGGTTTTATAAGCAGACACAAAGCTGGCTAGGTCCTGGTCATTTATTTTCTCCATTTTGTCACTGCTTTGTAAGAGCAGTATGTACGTATGAAAGATTATCTTTTTTGCAATTAATTGCAAGGGTTTTGCAGGCTGTTTTCTGATGTCATTCGGTACCCCATATCCCTGAGCCAAACGCTGAAGAAAGCTTTCCTAAAGGTTTTGAGCTAGGACAAATTATTTTTAAAGAGGATTAATCTATAACTTCAATGTGTGCATTTGCGTATGTTTGTGGGTCTGATTCAAAGCCAGTGAAGTCATTAGGCTCAGTATTGGGCCCTAACCAATTATTTTAAAACTAAATTTTAGCACTGTTCTATAAATATTGCTCTTTTATTTTCTGGCCCTGTGGATGTGGCAATGTTTGCTATTGAGAGGTATGCCTGATAGGAACAGTGAGTCAGACGGATTTCCTGAGGAGCAACTTCCAGAGGCAGAGGCAGCATATGAGGTTTCTCAATTCCCAACAATACCAATTAGATGGTCTCCCGACACAAACAGACTGCTAAAAAAAAAAACTTTCACTAAAATAACTGTATGCCTCCTGCCCGGATTTAAAATAAATCACTTTCTTCTTTAAATATGCCAAACAAAACTCATCTGGGCATCTGAGGAGCAACATTGCTAATGAGCAAGCTTGTCCTATCTGACAACCGTGGATATGTAAGATGTGTGTAGAAAATTCAGTCAAATAAGAAACTTGTAGCAAAACTGAAAAAGGGTGAGTTTCATATGAGATAAAAATGATAAGAGGTGAATAGATTATCATTTGGAAGGCAGGTTCAGAAAGAAGTTTTTTTTCAAAGGCTTGCTGATTAAACCACTGCATACTCCTATAAACATTTTGTGGTCTAACAGATGACTTTACACTTACAATAATCTTTGCTTTATTAATATGCTGCATTGTTCATATATTTGGACCTAATTTTAAAAGCAAATTAAGGTTTCTAAGATGAAACTCACTGCCTGAGGCTATATCTCAATTTGGGAAAAAACAAACAACACATGAGCTAAGCTAACTGATTAAAGAAAATATTTTCCTTATGGTTGATCTGAACCCTCGGGTGCATTCCAGCATGGTGGCCTGCTCTGCCAAAGACTGCACACCTCCAGGTGTGGTTAGGGTTCTGAAGAGAATGTCATTTGTTTGGTTTTGATACCATATTTTCCTGCTTGGAATGGACAAATAAGCTAGGATGTAAAACATGTCAATTATAAAATTATGCACAAATGACTTAACACAACAAAAGCAAAGTAATGAGACCAATCCTGTAAAATCTATTTCAAGAAGAAAGGAGGCAGAACCACAGCACATGGCTGGATCAAGCTGTATGCCAAAGCATACAATTTTATTACATAGCTTCAAAATAAATATTATACTGTAAGAGTGTACTTACATCCACCTCGCCTTGGTCAATCACATAGAAGTTGTCTCCTTCATCACCTGGAAGCAAAATACAAAAGGTGATTGTTTCCTGAAGGTCTGCTAAACTATTCAATAATTTTCTGTCTCCATATTTAATCCTGTACATATTTGCACAGGTTTGTACACCAGATTACTTACAGAGAGATTTATTTTCTGAAACATCCTTGCCTATTTGCCTTCATAAATCAAAATATTGCTATGATTTCATCCTATTAATGTCTTTCAATTACATTAATTTATCTCTTTTGATTGATTCAACACTTCATTCAGTGTAAACACGCAAAAGGCTTTAATATAGCCTGAGGGTAGTGAAGTCCTCCACAACATGCTGCAGGCACACAGGTAAATTGCCAAGTGCGATAACTATGATACAGTACAATGAGGTGTTGAATATTCCCAACAACCATAAAAGTATTTTCCATCTCTAATTACTCTCAGCTAGCTTGTGCCACCTTATGCATTCTGAACTGTGGTTTACTTCTTGACTTTCTTCAGTTAGGCAATGAACATTTCAATTTGAAGTGTTACTTATCTATATTTAACTGTAGCACTTTGAAACCCTGGAGATCTACCAGTATGGTTTTGTAGGAGACCTCTGCACATGTAGCAAAAGACCTGCATCCCTGAACTTATGACCACAGCTGCACACTTAGATGCTTTTGGAATATGGTAATTCTTCCCACTAAGCAAAGAGGGTGAAATCTCAAATGGAGACATGTGAATTGTACAACCTTAGCAAACATACAAGGGAAAAAATGAGAGGAGGATTTACCCTGTTGTATGACTGTTTCTCCTGCGATGTGTGTGACGGGGAACATGGCATCAAATATGTCACTGGAAAAAAAAACAAAACATTTATTAATAAATCAGATATGTTTCTTATCTAGCCATTAGACCTACCTTCATTGTTTCATTTAGCCTTCATTAACAGATTTTGCAGAAAAAGAAAAGGAAAATGTTAGTCGTAACTGGAAAGTGAGCCCCTGCTTGGCAAGAAATCAAAATAACTAGTTAGGCTGTGGTTTAAAACTAAGTGAGATCATGATTCAGTGCATGCTATTTCGAAAGAACTGAATTATATGCATACAGGCCACTTCTTATAGCACTGCACAAACTAGCCAGCCTGTGTATTTTATTGTCTAAGCAGACAGATTTCTGATTTTCAGCTGCGATCCCTATGTGTCACAGCAGTAATTGCTAGATGCCTAAACGGGATCTCTCCTCTTCTGAACATCTGGCCTCACATTTACAAGTAAAACCTGTTCCACAATACAGAGCACTTTTGGAAAGGTAGATGGCTCTAAATTAATGTAGCACAAGAGCTGGCAAGAGATTGCACTCACAGTGCAGAAGAGGCCAAACTCTGAAAATCTTTGTGAGTTACTCGTGAGAAGGGAATTTGACCAATGCTACAGAAACACTGAAGCTGCAGAAGAGCACTGTGCTCATTAATCATCGCTGAATTACACACCTTACTGTGGTCTCCAGCATACTGTCACATATCCTTAAAAGGCCAGGCAGAGCAGTAAGGATGGGAACGCACCCTGCACCAACACTTTGGGCAACTTGCCCAAATCCAGTCCTTTGTTTATTGAGGGAGACAGCAGGCTCCATGGAGCCAGGGCTTCCTTTCCCCACATCAGATTTTGGGGAACTTATTTTCAGAAGCATGAACTGCGCTGAGACGGGCACTCCCCACCTCTCTTCCCCTTCCTATGCATCAGTCTCAAGGGCTAAAGGAAATGGCTCCCCGACACAAACAAAAGGCAGCAAGGAGGAATTGTTAACCAGTCTCTTCCCTAGTTGGGTCTAGGAATGGTCCATCCAGGGACCACCGATGACAGCAGAGAGATGAAATGCTTTAGCCTGGGATAGAGCAAAGTCCTCACAATTGTAATGGAGCGCAAACAGTGAAGAAACCTAAAATTTTCATCAAAATAACCAGAAGATCAGCAAACAAACCCATGATACATTTCAGTGCCTTATATGGGAAATGCATATTGTAAAATCCCATTATTAGCTTATTTCCTGTTCAACTGTTCAAGAATTTATTCAGGCTCAGCTCTAGGAAATGTTTCACTCCGAAGTTCAAATTGGTCATGTCTTTCCTCTTCAGCAGCCAGAATGTTTGTGCTCAGTATCGCAGCTCTGAATCAGCACCACTTGTAGGAGAACTGGGAGATTTCAAACCACGTACCTCCCGCTGCTCCGCAGTACCTGCAAGGTAGCCCATGACCTACAATAAAATGATGTATTTTACCCCCGTTGTTTCATCAGGCCCACCCTGTGCTGTTCCTACTCACATTCAGGAAATATCTCCACCACAAATAAAAAGCCTGCCCAGAGGCTCTACGGAGAAACCTCTTTCTCACCTCATTCTGACCACCAATGCAAAGACCTATAACAAATTATTCTGAAAAGGATATGGACTGTATTCTTCATTAAAAATGAGTTTAGTGGATTTAAGAATACAGTCCATATCCTTTTCAGAATAATTTTTTATAGGTCTTTGCATTGAGATCATTATCTTAATGTTCAGCATTTCTCCAGTTCAAGGGACTTCTCTGTTGGCAGAAAGCATCCCTCTGGTGCAGGCTGTGGAGCTGGTCCCTATACTGACCCTCAGGGCCCTCCACCTAAAGAAATGGGAACTGAGGTTCAGATGAGATGGGGGAAACTACCACGATGGCAGGTGCCGAACTGGAACAGCCACCAAGGGACCTTATGTCAATGAGGCAAGTCAAGCTGCTCTTCAGTAGCTCTGGGACCTGGAAAATCAGTATGCCAGAGGCTCATTTGCCTTCCTGTGGTTTCCCCTTGGCTGTCCCTGGGCACCTCACCAGGCTTTAAGAACAGCCCTGAAGCCTGCAGAAGATTTACTGGAGGAAAAGGCACTCTGTGTGGCAGAGAAGAGTCTTCAATGTGATACATCCAAAAATAGGTCCAACACTGTGAATGTCAATAACAAAACCAAAATGTGACTATTTGAACAAACTTGGAAACCTTTTTTTTTTTTAAATAGAAATACAGAGGAAATAACTACCCACAATTTCACCCTTTCATCTTTGTTTTAAGGCTGTATTTTATTTATAACTTAACAATTGACTGTACAAACAGTGCCCAATAACTTATGTATAGCACTGCACCCTTCTCCAAAATGTTCCACCTTTGATTTAATTCAGATTAAGTGTAGAATCTGTTTGGAAGTTTTTCTTATTGCCTTTATCCTCAGTGTCTGAAATAAACACAAAAATGTCACAAGGATCAATATACCACAATACTTTGAAAATTTGAAAAATTTGTTCCCGACTCATGCCAAAATCTGAAACTACAATAAACAGACATATTTTCCACCTCCTCAATAAATGTCTGATGCTCCATATTCAGTTTCAGCCATGTGTCCTGGGTCTGTACTATGCAGAGAAAACAAACTTTAAATACTGAATAAGTTAAGAAGTGGCTATTGCTAAAGGCATAAACAATATGGCCAAGGCCAAAAATACAGCCGATTGGTTTTGTCCTGTACCATGCACCTGTTTATCACTCTCTGACCATTACAGTAAAAAAAAGCCCTTACAAATACAGTGCTGCAACCATCTCACCACCAAGGAAAGACGGTAGCTGCTCCCCTACAGCTCTGCAAAAATCAGTAGTTGTATTTCTTGGGTTTGAAGGTTTTGTTAAATAATTAGGGCCAAACACACACATACACATTTCTAACAACCAAAATTTTTGTCAAGCACAAACAGGTTTTATTCCAGAATAAACAGAAAGCCAGAAAATCAGTAGTTAAGTCTTCACAAAATGATTTCATCTTCTGTCTGAGCTGCAGCACCAAGAACACAGCAGCCTCTGTCTTCTGCCCTTGCACCAGCCATTTAACTGTTGACACCGACCGTGCTAGCAATGCTGTGCGCTGAATTGATATGGCAACAGTTTGATTTTTTGCCAGGATTTTTACGATTGTGCTGTAAATGAGAACTGCTCAGAGGGATTTCCTGATTTTGTTGAAAATGTATTGTTTGCCATGTTTCCAGATGAGTTATTCAGGTGATGGAAGAAGAAAATAGGGCACCAGTTCTGGTATTTCAGCTGTTGTTTCATAAGACTGCAACCAAGAGAGATGCACTGCACTGAGTGTGTCCCAGGCTTAGCTTCAGGACTTGGAAGGCTCTTTCTCACCCTCTCCAGAGCCAAAGCTTTTGACAGGCTTTGCAATTTTTTCATAGCTTCCCTACCTACTTCCAGAGGATCTGTATCTGGTTACTGATGGCATCTGGAGACAAACATTTGTTAGAATCGGAAGGTATCGAGGGCAATTTTTGGCTTGGAAGTGTAGTTGCAGGTGGGACTGTATGTACCTGAATATCCACGTTTGGATCCAAAGGGAGATGCTACCAGGACATTACTAATGTCTTCCAGGGGGATATCTGCACATTTCATTCTTTGTAACTTTTTTACAGTATCATTCAAAAACAAATTACAAGAAAAGATTGTGAGCGGCATAGAATATACTGAGAGCAGTTAATTAGTCCAACAAAGTGAAACCAAGAAATGCGTTTAGACATGAAATCTCTATCTATTCAATCAAAAAATACCACCTGTCTTCTTAGGGAATATAAAAATGTAAGAGGCTTTTTCTAAAAGGTCAAAGATATCAAAGGCTCTCAGCAAGTTTTAACACATAAAGTGTCTTCCATGAGTGTACAGCAGAATTGCAAACAACTGCAATCAGACCTGCAATCACAGGAGCTGATCCTCCGCTGTCTGTCATCTGTAATGACTTCTGGCCACCTGTTCAGGTCGAGCCAATTCCCTTTTCATGCAAAGAAAGAAAACTCCACTCGAATCAATGAGACTGCAGCTATTTGGAACAGCAAAGAATCTGTCACAGATATTGCAAAATAAATATGATGAAACACTTTGCTGATTTAATTCAGTAGCATTTTATAGACCCTTTTTGCCAAGATGTAAATGACTGTGCTAAGAGGAAGCCAGTAGAGAGGGCAGGCAGGGCCAAGGCATTCTCTTTCTCACAAGAAAAAGAGAGTGATAAAAATAAATCATCTCATCTGCTTTTACACTGAGGCTGGTTGGAGTTGACGTAGAATATGATAGACAAAAAAAAATAAAGTGCACTGTAGGTGAAATAGCACTAGCAATGGGCAACCGAGAAGCTTGTTAAAACAAAGCGAGAGAAGGAGGATTCCAAGCACTTTCAGAACCAGACCATGGCAATGGCCAAAATAGGGAAACTATGTAAGACAATTTATCAGTTTCACAATCAGATTTCTTTCCAGCCCTTGCTGTGCTGAATGCATTGCAGGAAAGGAAAAATGGAATAGACAAAATGTATACGTGTTAAGCAAAAATGGAAAATCCTCTTTGTACCTGCAGGTTATAATTTGTCAAGAGTTCAATCAGAACAATTTCATTGTGCAAGCAGACTTAGAAAGCCTTCAATGTGTGCACTCTACAGAGTTTTTTCTTCTCTTGCTATCTCTCTAGCGAAACAAAGCAAGCCCTGTATTATTGAGGGTAGCTTTAGAAGATATGTAGCTGCTCTGGCATAATTCAACAAAAGACACACAACATTTTCTTGGAGTGAGTCTGCCCTAGTAGGAGGATTCCAGCATTTTAAACCTTTCCTACTTACATACTTTTAAAGTTTAGTAAACAGAGTTGATAGTAATTCCACCTTTATTTAGCTGTAACTCTTATATCTGGGTACTCTTTTAAGATTTCTAAAATTGGGGGGGGGGGGATGTTCTCTTCTTGTATATGTCTAAGATTTTCTTATGAAAAGATAACAACTTTCTAGCAATCGTTCTAAC